TTCACCTGATTCCCTATCCGGATCGCCGATTCGCCGATCCGGATCGATTTTTTGGGTGCCCGATCGGGGTCACCGATCTGTTTTTTAAACCATTGATTAGAACAATAACTATACCAACCGTCCATCTCAAGAAACAACATTGGATGTCATGCTGTGGATACTCGAAGAATATGGATAAGGTGCTGATTGTAATGTATTTTATTATGTTTTCCAAATTTGAGCAGATAATGGGCATCAATCGGAAAAATAATGTGGGCGGGTTTGATTTTAAGAATATGCGGTTTTGAAACCGCATTTTCTTAAAAATGGTTATCTCGAGTTCCGTAGTCCAACAAGGACCGGTAGTATCCACTTTTTCATCTTAAATATACGTATCTAATACTTATCCATTATCAAACAATGAAGTACTGTAGTATCCATGTCCTCCAAAAATCAGCCCTAAAAATAAAAAGAATTTCCCATGTACAAAGAAATGAGGATAAAATGGTCATAATCAACCAACAAAGGCTTCAGGGCTTCTTTTAAAGAATCTAGTCTACATTCCTTGATTTGGGGCATTTCTGGAAACAAAATCTAAAAACAAGAAGATTCGCCCCCTTGTAATTAGGATATCCTGTCATTTGAGGAAAAAGTGAGGCTTTTTTAATTTCTTGTAACGAGTAGACGTTTTTGATATTTATGATAAAATAAATTGACATTTTGGTACTTTTCCTTTTTTTTTATTTATTTTTATTTATAACCAAGCAGAAGTGCATCGAGTTGTCGCCTCGATACCCTCTGACACGTGGAGCCTATCAGAAAGGTCTTGCCACGTGGCATATAGGCAGACGCCTCTATATATAGGCCCCACAATTTCATGGTATTTTTTTACTCAATGGATATTTATCGTACGATTGAGAGCCTAATAACGACGCTAAAGTCGATGGGTAAACATAATTCAACCGTTTCAAGATAAACTGATATGCCTTCTCTCTCTCTCGCTCTCTCCGAATTTTGAATCACGGATCCATGTATCACTTCATGCTGCAGGCTTCGATCAACCAATTTTGATGCGGGTTCACACATTTTAATTGTCTATTTAGTTTGGACGGTGCAAATCAACTCGATTATCGATACATAGCGGTTGCAAATAATATAAAAATAGACAAATAGAGTTTATATAACATATGCAAGTCTTGACATATTGAATATTTTGTTTTTCTCATCATCATCAAAAAAACTTCCTTTTCTATTCTAGCACCTGTAAAAAAAAAGATCAATTACTTTGTAGGCCTTGATGCGCTTATTTACTGGGGGTTTGCACATCTGGACTATTTATTTAGTTTGGAAAGTGTAAATTTAGTTCAATTATCACTTAATAATACTTAAGAGTTAGAATTGATTTACATTATGAACAAACAATACGAACATCAAAATCCATATA